AATAGTGCCTTAGAACTCTCATACATTGCTGATAGGAATGTAAAATGGTACAGGCACTGTGGAAAATAGTTTGGTGGTCCATCAAAAAGTTAAACCTATAATTACCATATGACCCAGCAATTCCCCTCCTAGGTATATACCCCTAAGAATTGAAAACAGGTGTCTAAACAAAATATTGAACATTCATAGCAGCAATATTCATAATAGCTAAAAGGTGGAAACAACCCAATGTCTATCAGCTAATGAATAAACAAAATGGAATATAATTCAGCCATCAAAAGGAATGAAGTGTTCACACATACTATAATACAGATGAATCTCAAAAACATTATTGAGTGAAAGAAGCCACACACAAAGGCCACAGAGTATACGATTTTATTTATATGAAATATTCAAAATATGCAAATCTGTAGCGACAGAAAGAAGACTATTGTTGCCAGGGCCTGGGAAGAACGAATAATGTAGAGTGAATGCTTATGGGTATGGGGCTTCCTTTTTGGGTGATGAAAATGTTCTGTAACTAGATAGAGTTGATGGTTGCATAACATTGTAAATGTACTAAATGACACTGAATTGTACACTTTAAAATGATGTATTTTTACCACAATAAAAAAAAGAGTGAACAACAACAAAAAAATACCTTGATTTTTTCACTTTCTTTTCTTACTCGCTTTGCATTTTCAATAATGTAAACCGTGCTCTTGTTGACTTCATTGTCAGCTCTGTGTCTCAGCCAATCCTCATATCCCTAGAAAGATAAAAATAACTATATAATCAAACTCAGATAATAGTTAATTAACTTCTATACCCCCTATGAGTCAACAGCAGATATTTATAATTATAGTGTTAATTTCAACTCAGAATGCTAAAGAGACAATGCTGTACATTTTATTAATAATAGCAAATCTGAGATACATTTTCAAAATACCACTTAGGTAAATAGCTTTATTGTGTTAAAAGTTTTCTTCATTCTTCAGATAAATAGTAATGAAAACACAGGCATTTTGAGTCTTAATATTCTTCATCTGTGAAAGACTGTGATTTATTCTTCTAATTCTGTTCTTATTCAAGTTAATGTTAATTCTCTCTACTTTTTTATCTTGAAAAGAGATTGTTCTGAGTTTGTATTTTCTTATAGATCTAATCACTTAAATATATTCTTCTATACATATTGTAGTAGACTGATGGAGTGATCACTTCCAAGGAAATATTGTAATTCCCACTCTCAGAGAACAGAAAAGATAAGCTACACTTGTTTTGGCAGAGAATCTGTAAGTTTTAGAGATCAACAGCTAAACTTCTCTACTGACTTGGTGATAAAATAAAATATAAGTTGGCATTTATTTTTTAGAGTTAAATGTAATCAGGGTAAGATCTAATGGTTCATTTTCCTTTGAGTTTTTTGTCTGGAGTAGATTTAAGCCAAAAGAACTAAGGAAGGAAGATGTTCAATTGTTTGAGCATGACTTCCTCTCTTTTTTATACCTTTTTGCTTTTTTTTTTCATTGTGATGTCTGTACCTTGTCAAATAAAACTGTTTGAAAAATCTCTTGATCACCTCCCCCACCCCTTTTCCCCCTCTCAGGTGCTATATCCTTTCTTCCTCTGTCCTTCTTTATGACAATGCTAGGCTACCACTTCATAGGGTATATTCTGTGATGCCAGTGAAGAAAGAAAGGCCCTAACTAGTATTGGGAGTAGAATGAATCAGTAAAAGCCTTTCAAAACCATACATGCTATTCTTGGAACCAGCAATTTTAGGATATTAAAAAAAATAATCCTACAGCTTAAGGGAAAGAACATTCCAAAAGTCTTTATTTAGCAACCTTACAGTTCCTGGTAGGCAAGATAGAAAACCAGATAACCCCAAGAAGAAAGGTAATCTTGTTCCTGGTACTGTTAAGCAGACCTTTATTTTGCAAGCTTCTTTGGTACCCTTTTAAAAAGCACTTTGATAAGTACTACCTAAAAGTATGTTTGCAAATAGTCAGGTCCTATGGACTGTCCCAATACATGATAAATATTGTTAACCCATCCCCTTTGCTTCCAGTTTCCTGTTTGCATTTTCAATTTTATCTGGAATTTTTCAAAAGTACTAGAATATAAAATATCTGAAATACTTCAAAGACATCCATATCATAATCTGTGGCAGTTCATCAGCTCTGATAAGAAATAGGAATAAAAGTCTCCTCTACCCTTCAGCAGCATCAGAAGAAACAATAAAATTAAAGTATTTGTGCTGTTGAGTTCTTTGCTATAGGCAGTAGTAACAAAAAATTCACAACGGGAATTTTTCAGATAAACCTACAGTACTGAAACAATTAATAGATATTAAAAAATCCATCTCCCATTTACTGACTGGGCTATATACCTTCTACCAACTCTTTATGTTTACACCACACACACATTGAGGAGGAAACAAGCAAACAAATTAAGGATGTGCCTTACAATCACTTTAATAGGTTTTCAATGGGAGCCAAATACAAACTAAATCCATAAAGGATACTGCACACTGTATTTAAATATGAAAAACAGCCAATGACAATGAAATTCAAACCAGCCTGGACTGAAATGCAGGCATAAGTATAAATAAGAAATTTACCTGCTTGATGGCTGTAACAGTTATAACAAAGAAAAGTGGAAGTCCACTGGTAACCGGGCTAGTTGGTGTGTCTACTATGACCTAGGTAAAGAAATTAAATTGAAAGTAAAATGAAAATTAGCTATTAACTATAAGCAGCACTTACATGCTACAAACATTTCAAACAGAAATACAGACAAAACATATTCCAACAGTAGGATGAATGTTAATTTTCATCAATATTAACAAAAGCAAACAACACAGTAGTTAGTTTACAAAATAATCCTATATTCGTGCATAGTTTTCATCCCAGCTTGGATTAATCCCTTTACTGAAATATATCCATTCATTTACCACCTATTTATTGAGAACCATTCTGTCAGCCCCTGTGCTATTATCAGCCAGTCTCTAGAGATACTGCTTTAAACAAGATGGAGACAAGTCCCTGCCTTTATGTAGCTGGGAGCTTATAGGGAAAACCAGTCATCAAAACAAGTGTACAGATGCTGAGATCTGATGAGTAAACAGGAGTTGCGTAGACAAAAGGAGGCTTTCTAGGCAGAGTGAACAGTATATGCAAAGCCTCTATGGTAGAAGGGAGTATGGCACATATTAGGAAATAAAGGAAGCCACTGGCAAGAGGAAATGTGGTGTTAGATGGAGCTGGAGAGGGAGGCAGGGGCCAGACTGTGCAGGGCTCTCTAGGCCAGAGAAAGCTGTTCATTCTTTATCCCACAAATAGCAGGAAATCCTCGAAGGTTTTAGGCAGAGCAAGGTCACATGAACAGAACTGCATTTTGAAAAGATCATTCTCCCTGCTTTGTGGAAGATAGATTGGAAGGGAGTAAGAGTGGAGGCAGGGAGTCCATTTAGGAGGCTATTGCTATAATCTAGGTGAAAGATGATGGTTTAGACTATGGTAGTAGCAGCACACATGGAAAGAAGTTCTAGAGATATTTAGGAGGCAAAAATGGCAATACTGCCAGGTGTCAATTAATGATGTCTTCCAAGTGCCTTATTAACATGCCTAGATGGATGTTGTCATCATTCACTGAAATTAAGAAATACTGAAAGAAAACTATTAATACATTTGAGAGATCCACCGTCACTGATTCTGATCTCCAATCCCCAAGCCAGACCTGCCCCTGCTATACTCCCTGTGTTGCAAATACAGTGTATACTTCCATGTACACACAAGGCTTCTACATGGCTCTGTGCCTTTAGGCAATCTTTTCCCTACCCCTGAGATACTGGTCTGGCATTCTTTACCAGGTAAACCCCCTCTAATTCATCAAGGCTCAGTTCAGATACTATCTACTGTTTGACACATTCTCAAGTTCATCTTAGGTACAAAAAAATCGTAACTTCTACTGTATACCTATAGCATTTTGCTCATGTTACTTGAATGACTTTAGTACATTAAATCACATGAATACATGACTGTTACATGACTTTCTTCTCAGCTATAACACAAATTCCTTAAAGGTAGAAAAGACGTATCTTGATATTCATTGTACCAGCTATCATCTTTGTTGCCTGTACTACTGCACAGCACACACTAGGTGCTTGTTACAAGTTTGCTGAATTGAACTGAAATGCACTGCCCAACAAGTAGAATCATTCTTGCAAGCAGAATCTTCTATGTAGCTTATACTATGTCTGTAAGACATCTGACCATGGAATTAGAGGACCTCCTTTTCAAATGCTCCATCATTCAGTATTAAAATGGGCTCTTTCCCATATTGTATCCCAGATTGGTTTTACATACCAAGGCTAAATTCAATTATAGTACCATTAACTCAAAGACTCAAAGCAGATAAACAGAAGCATTTAACATCAACAAGGCATTTGAGCAATTTCATTGGGATTTTTTCTGCTTCATTTAAAAAATGAAATAAGAAAAAAAGTACCTTTAATGTAGTAAACTTTTCAGGGGGTAATTATGGCAAGGGAACAATTTTAATAGCTTATAGACATAAAGATGGAAGATGCAATTTAAAATGTCTAAAATTTGAAACACGGTAGAATAGAAGGAACACAGAGAAACAGATCAATCTACTAGGCTTTCACCTTCAAGGTAAGAGAATGAGGCAGAGCAAAACTGGTAATCATGAAAAGTTTTCAATCAGGCTGCAACTGGTGTTTAACAAAGTATATAAAACTATTAGTTTGAACTATTTTCAATTTTGATATATACCATTTCATTTAATAGTACACAATACACATCCTTCTAGGATGAGCAAAAACGTAAATTCGTGAAAGTGTTAAAGAAAGTAACAATGAAATACATAAAAGCTCAAGTTTTCCGGAAACATGCCACACTTTAAAAATCTATGAAATCATATAAATCTTAAAATGTTATATTTCTACTTTAAAAATTCATATTATAATAATCCCTGGAATTTTTTTTTATAATTACAGGGCATTTTAAGGTTAGAAATGGATTGAAAATTTGTTTGACGCAATCAAGTATCTAAAAGTTGAACTGCTGATTATGGAGCTCTTACCTGTACAAGGAAAATGATGAGAAAATAAAAATTTGCAATTCTTCTAAACTGTTCAAATAGATTCTTTGGGAGGAAATTCCAAAGTGTATACTGTAAGGGGGGGAGAATTAAAAAAATATTATTAGAAAGAAAACTTGAAAAGGGTATTGATTCATCTTTTTTATGGCTGAGTAGTACTCTAAGTTGTGTGTGTGTGTGTGTGTGTGTGTGTGTGTGTGTGTGTGTGTATATATATATATATATCACATTTTATTAATCTACTCATGAATTGATGGGCACTTGGGTTGATTCCACACCTTTGCAATTGAAAATTGTGCTGCAATAAACATTCGAGTGCATGTGTCTTTTTGATGAAAAGTCTTCTTTTCCTTTGGGTAGATACCCAATAGTGGGATTTCTGGATCGAATAGTAGGTCTACTTTTAGTTCTTTGAGGCATCTCTATACTGTTTTCCATAAGGGTTGTACTAGACCATTCTCCTAAGTGAAGTATCTCAAGAATGGAAAAACAAACACCACATGTACTCACTATTAAATTGGAACTAACTGATGAGCACACATGTGCACAGAGGGAAGTAAAACACAGAGGAAATCAACCAGGGGGTAAGGGGAAGAGGGGAGACAAAAACCTACTTTAATGGGTACAGTGAACACTACTTGGGTGATGGGCACACTTATAGCTGGGACTTGAGCATTACAAAAGCAATCCATGTAACCTAAAACATTTGTACCCCCTAATATTTTGAGATTTAAAAAAAGAAAACTTGAAAAATCTTAATAGTAATGACTAATATGGGTCTAGATTATAATATAGTGATATTTAATATGTCCAACACTTAGAAACCCAAACCTCATATATATGCATAAACATGTTTAGAGGTATAGTATATAAAAACCTTTTTCAGAAATGAAGTTTTCACTCTGAGCATTACAATGGCCATCTAGTCCCATATCTTTGCTTTCTCTGATTCAATCTAAATTAGGTTCCTTGCTATGTGCTCTCACATCATCCTATTTTTACTTCTTTGATAACACTCATTATAGTGAATTATTAATATATATGTGTACATTTTTTATTAACGTTTCTCCCTCAATAGGCAATGAGCTCTATAGGGGGAGATTGTTCATCACACTTGTTTACTACATTTTCCCCAAACCTAGCACAGTGCCTGGTACAAAATTGACAATAAATTACTTGGATGAATGAACAAATTAATTCCCCTGGTTCAGCTAACCTAAGGAGTCTTGATTGTCTTCACCAAAAGATATTATTCTGTTCCTATCAGTACCTCCCATCTCCATGACAGCTGAGAAGGTATACATACAACCCTGGGTCTTAGAGGGCTTTCACTTGTTAATCAATAACATACCACCCTGGGCTTTGGTAACTGGTAATAGGTAAAGGTTTCAGTACTAAATTGCACATGGGCAGAAGGAGAGAACTCTCCGGCCAGCCATCGAACCATATGTACTTTCTCACTAATACCTTAAGTTCAAGGATTGATTCATTTAAAAGTTATCAGAAGTTGGGTTTTCTAGATGTCTT